ACAATTCCACAGTATTGGCCTGTCTTAAAATACTTTATTTTTTTAAAGTACCCTATGAACCAATTAAAATACTTTATTTAGAATGATATTTCTTTATCGATCTCTTGAAATTTGGCTTTTCAAAGAACATTCTAGAAAGATGAGATAAATATAAACAAAAAATTGCCTCTCTCAAACAGTTACTAAAGCTATTTCTTTGAATAAAAAAAAAATCTCAACTTCAACTCTCAAATAACCTTTCCTGGAGAAATTATAAGTGAAGTTGTTATCTTTTTAGTTTCTCTAAAAACATCACTGCCCTTCCTTGATGTCCTCACCTTTATTCCACTCCTCAGAATCTACTTTACGGCACTATATTAAGTGTGATTTTTTTTTTTTTTTTACCATGCCCAGAAATGTTTAACTTACCACCAAGGAGCCTTCTTCGGAGAAAGCGTATGCCACTTCAGCATCACCGGGGAATATATGGGGAACTTAGCTTTCAGCCCAGATCGTTAGGCTTCTTCTGATTGGTTAGAACCTTTCTTGAAAGAGATGACTGTGCAGTGATTGGCCTGGAATGGCACTGTAAGCCCCACCCAGTCATTAGCCCTGAGGAACAAACTTTAAGTACCACATCAACTGGCAACTAGCAGTAAACCATTAATCCTTTTAGACAGAAAGTAAAAAAAAAAAAAAAGCCTCTTTAATTCATAAGGATAATTAGATTGCTTTAACTCCAATCATGCAAAAAATGTGAGTGTTGCCTTAGCCGTTTGGGGCTAAATAAATTGCGTCCCATTGTCTTATTTCAGATGAGCCCTAGTGATCTCCTATTGTTTAGTATGTGCACCAAAATATAGTCCTCCAGAGATAATGTCTGTACTTTGTAACTAGAAAATGGCATCTGAAATTATTTTCTCTTGCTTGTAGTAGATACTACCTTGAATCCTCTCTTCATGGGAAGTGAGCAGATTGAGAGTGAAATCAATGATTTATTGAAAATATTTCTGCCCAGTGGGAAAACTGTTTCAAGCAGGAATAAAACTGTGGGTTTGTTTCCCAGTGGCGCTACTAAATGACCTTTTTGTCTCCAACTGGCAAAACATTTTTTATCAAATCTGGTTTTTGAGTTTTGCGGAGGAAAGGTTTTTTTTTGTTTTTTGTTTTTTTTTTTCCAAATCTGTGAGTAGGTGATTATTAACACAGCACAAACAATTCCTCCCTGCAGGTTCTGTCACTGGTTTTCAATCAGGATGATTGAACGAGTCTTCCTTGTGTCTTATAAGAAACTAAGTGATTCTCAGTTGTCTGAGTAGGTTGGTTGTGGTGTAATATAGTGGTTAAGAGAAGACTCTGAAGTCAGAATGTTCAATTTATATCCTGGCCCTGCCACTTCCTATCTGTTTGAACTCAGTCAAGTTACTCAATCTCCTTGTGCCTTAATTTTCTCATTTACAAATGCAAATATGGATAATAATGGTACCTACCTTGTTGTGGAGTTATTTTGAAGACTAAATGAGTTAATTTGTGTATAGGGTTTAGAACATAAACAGTTTATAGGCAGCGCTTGCTTCTACTATTTCAGCATTATTTACAACTGGCTGGAGACTTTCACTTAGCCCTATCTAAGATTCTAAGAATCGTTAGAGACTGGGATAGGTATTATATCTTTGCCTCTTAAAAGAAAGGTAAAGGTAAGTTAGCAAACAGATACAGGAGGTAAAAGAATCTGGAGATACCCAAGTAAAACCCCTTCAGTTCTCTTAGGTAAATGTCATGGTAACCAATCAGGCTAATGTCGTGAGGCTGTACCAGAAATAGAGACAGAATTATAAGTATGTACCTGAACTCATTCTGCTCTTAAAGGCCACCAGCACAAGACATTTATCTATTCAACAAAGGATTCTAGCTCCCCATGTAGAAGGGTTTTAGGCATAGGAGTTAGTCACATTTCAGACTCAGCTGGGAGAGGCTGGTTATTTAGATCAGGACTGGGGACAGCTAGGATGGGGCTGGGTTCCCAAACTAGTTCTGTCCAGCCAACCAGGACAGGAGCTGTGAACTAACACCTTCTACACCTTTCAGGAGCCACCTATTTATTCTGTAACCTCATCCCTCTCCCGAAGACTGTGAATGTCTCTGATACCAGTCAATTTCCTTTTTCTCACTGACTGACTGCCTGACTTCACTGTAGCGCGAATTAGTTTTAGTCTTGGTCTTACATCAACTAGACATTTTCATTCTAAGCCTTTTATCTCTAACTGTGAAATGAAAGTCTTTGTTCTCTATTAAGGGAATTCAGACATTCTGGAGCAGATGGGAGATGGTTTGGGGGATACGGATGAAATTACACCATCCATAAAGGCAACCTTGAAAGGGGAACCTGATTTAAGCCTTTCAGACATGTGGGTGAGGTGACAGGGGCAAGCTGGGTGGAGGTCCACGCCTCTGTCTTTCCTCTTGTCCTCCCTGACGAGGCTCTTGGGAAGGCAAAACTAGAGGCTGATCTGGCTATGGCATTGGGCATTTATTCCTAGAAGAATTAGCATTTAATAAAATTTCCACCTTGTATCTGTACTGTAACCAACCTTTTCTATTTTTTTATATTATTGCTAGTTCTGAAAAAAAAAATACAGATGCTGACCCTTCTTGCCTCCGCCAACGTGCACACACACACACACACACACACACACACACACACACACACGTCTAAGGTACACAAATAAAACCATGGATAAAGACACTTTTGGTTAATAGAATTTCTTTTCAGTGGGATTGAAGATAATATTGTGGAGTTGGTGATATCTGAAAAGCTTATGGGAGTTGAATTTTCAGAAACAATGATCATATTTCATAAAGTTTTCTTGTCTTTTGGTTTTATGCACCTTTCTTCTTTTGAAATAAAGACCTGCCCTTGTTTTTTTCTAGTCACCAAAATAAAGGGTCTTGGTGGGTATCTTCTCTAGGAGAAAAATGGAACTCATAGTACTTGAATGTGTATCTTGGAGAGTACTTTAAAAGCCTTGGTCACAAAACAGATGCCGAATCTCCTAGCATATACAACTTTCAATGTGTTCAGCTGAGCGTGGCCCAATGAGGTGTTTAAGGGCCAGATTACTAACTGGCTATGAGGTGTTCTAGGTCTACACTTTTGTACCAACTGGGGTACATAGAGTCTCACTGAGATGAGAGTTTGGTCCAGAAGAGCCACGGCCAATAGTGATATGTTCTAAATCTACTCTGAGATGGAAAGCAACAAGGAATCTCACTAAGACAGCTGGTCTGGGAGTGCCATAGACCTGAACAGTAATCATGTTTTTAAGATAGGTAGAAGCATGGAGGACTGTGTTTAGGAGTACAGCAGACATTAGTCTGCCCAGCTTCAATTCTTAACACAGCCATGCCCTAGCTTGGTGACCTTGGAAAATTACTTAACCTCTCAGTTTCAGTTCCTTATCTGTGAAGTTGACAAAAAAATAAAATGGAAATAGTTGTCCCAAACTCAATGGCTTGATAAGAGTATCAAACACATGGAAAGCACCTAATTTAGTGCTCTCTGTAAATATTAGTCTTATTCCTTCTTGATATGTTTGGCAGTTCTGTGTTCTCAAGTGACATAAATATTTTTATATTTATTTATCTCTTGCTGTATTCCTTCATTCTGACTCTAGTCAGACTTTCGTAGCTGGAAAGAATTTTAGAAGTGTATAGTTCTCCCTTTTCATTTATTTCTCAAATAAAAAGAATAAAGATTGGAGACATTAACACTGCTTCTTAGGGTTTGAAAATCTCTATTACTATTGATGATGAGGATAATAAATAATGACAGCAAGTTATGTTTAAGCACTGCTTTTTTGTTTTTTGGTGGGTTTTTTTGTTTTGTTTTTTTGAGACAGAGTCTCTCTCTGTTGCCCCAGCTAGAGTGCCGTGGTGCCAGCTTAGCTCACAGCAACCTCAAACTCCTGGGCTTAAGCGATCCTCCAGCTTCAGCATCCTGAGTAGCTGGGACTACAGGCATTTGCCACCATGCCCAGCTAATTTTTTTTCTATACATTTTTAGTTGCCCAGCTAATTTCTTTCTATTTTTAGTAGAGACAGGGGTCTCACACTTGCTCAGGGTGGTCTTGAACTCCTGAGCCCAGATGATCCGCCTGCCTCAGCCTCCCAGAGTGCTAGCATTACAGGCGTGAGCCACGGCGCCTGGCCTAATCACTGTTTTATAGTTTGTAAATTGCTTTCACATTCATTATATCTCATTGGTCTTCTCAATATTCCTGAAGATATGAAGGATGGGTGTCTTTATCCTTGTTTTACAGATGTAGAAACTTTCTAGGTCGTAAAGCTAGTTCTTGGCTGGGCCAATATTGGAATTCAAATCTCTGAGTTTAGGCTCCGGATCTGAAAAACTTTTCATGATATCTTAAAGTCCTCATTCATCTCATATCTCTGAGTTTCTAGGTACATTTATAGCATTCACAGGGCACTAAAGTTGAAAAGAACATTAGAAATCCTCCGGTTAGCTCTCTCACTGAAGTCCACAGGGATTAGATGACTAGCCCAAGGTTGCACAGCTCCAATGGTGGCAGCGTGGAGACTGTACTTCTTGTTTCTGGGAGAGTCTCTTTCTACCAGGTCATGCCAGAAACTCCCTTTTTAATTCTATTTAGACAAGGGGCAGGAGAAGGAATACCAGTATGAGGGAGGTCTGGTTTGGATCCCAAGCTATAACATTTTATCGCAAGAGATTCAACAAAGAGAAGAACTAGAAGGATCAGAGCTTTGTGAGATTTGGGGACTTCTAGGCCCTGCGGCTACTTGTAATACTTGGGTGTTAGTTTTTTGAGTTTTCTTAACCCGTGAACCTTTTTGACCTATGGCTATTATTAGAAAACTCATATTCTATTTATTCTTTGGACTGAAGGCTCCTTATGTTTAAGACCTGATTCTCTGAAGCTAAAGGGGAGCTGAATCTGGAACGTGGAAAGGATGCCTGACCTTTGCAGAGGAGAGAAAGCAGGGAGGCTCTAGCATAGTTTATTAGCACAAGAAAGGAAGCAGAAATTCAAAGCAGATGTTTGCAATAAGAATACAAATGGTATATATGGCTCCAGCAATCCTTATACTCTAGTCATTAGACACCTCCATTTGGAGACAGAGGAAAATGACAAATTCCAACGATGGTTTATTATTTACTCAGCATGGTGGAGAAATTAATCACAGATGTTTATTGAACTCAGTGAACTAACTGAACTGCTCTCCCGCCCACTCAAGGTAATTGCAAATGTACCCACCACGTGTCCCAATGGCATAACCATCAAACCTATCAAGCTGGAACTCTCACGCCAGTGCATATTCAAATGTCCCTTTATCAAACTCTTCAACTTCATCCTCCCAGGTAGAGGAAGGCATGCTACTATATGGGTCTAACAGGATTTTGAAGCATCTAATGATAAGAAGTCCCAGGAAGATACACAAAATCCCAACAAAAGCAAAGCCAGTCTTTTGCTCCAGAGTCAGTGAGAAAGCTGATACTTCGTTGACACTCATCTTAGCTGAAGAGTTGCCGCAGTAGGTACTACTCATTATTCACGGGTGCATGGTTGCAGCTCTTCACAATTCCTGCTGGAATCACCTCTTCGCCTAGGTACAAAATTGGACTCAGTTTAGTCTCACCCTTGTATGGAATTGGGTAGGCAGTTGTTTCACAAAATATGGCATTTTTTAAACCCTCTTGACTGAACTCCCACATAAGACGTTTGGAAACATCAGATACTGATCAGAGTGAAATTAATATTGGAGATGCTACTTCTACTGTAGTAGTCATGGCATTGCCTTTGTGGACACATAAAACTGTGCCTATATACTCTAAATATAAAATCCAGTATGAAGGTGAATATCAAATAGCGAACCCTAATAGCTTTTGATTCATTGCTAGATGGTTAAGTCCCTGCTTCTTTGATCTCAATTGTCATCTAATTTTCACTTCTGTTTTGCACGTGTAAATGTAACATAAATAATCATGGAGCATAAACTGGTCAAGCTGTTTAAAGCCTATACTTCAAGGTCTATCTCCAATGCCATTTTGTCTGACACAGATTTTGATACTTTTATTTTATTTATTTATTTATTTTTAAATTAAATTAAAGTTTTTATTTTTTTTTAAAGACAAGGTCTTGCTCTGTCGCCCAGGCTGGAGAGCAGGGTTGTGGTCATAGATCATAGCTCACTACAGCCTACAACTCCTGGGCTCCTGGAATAAGGGATCCTCTTGCCTCAGCCTACCCAGTAGCTGGGACTACAGGGTACAAGGCCTGATCCTTTTAAATGGATATAATGTCATCTCTCTTTTTCACTACCGTAGCTTTTATACTTATGTCCTTTCATTTTCTTTTCCACTGCCACGTCATACACTAAATGTCAATTTCTTTTTTTTTTTAAATTTTTATTTATTTTTATTTTTGTTCCTTGAGACAGAGTCTCACTCTGTTCCCCTAGCTAGAGTGCCGTGGTATCAGCAGAGCTCACAGCAACCTCAAACTCCTGGGCTCAAGCGATCCTCCTGCCTCAGCCTCCTGAGTAGTTTGGACTACAGGCATGCGCCACCATGCCCGGCTAATTTTTTATATATATTTTTAGTTGTCCAGCTATTTTTTTTTCTATTTTTAGTAGAGATGGGGTCTCACTCTTGCTCAGGCTGGTCTCGAACTCCTGAGCTCAAACTACCCACCTACCTCGGCCTCCCAGAGTGCTAGGATTACAAGTGTGAGCCACCGCGCCCGGCCTAAATGTCCGTTTCTTAAAGAGAGAAATTATGTTTTTGAAATTATATTAACACAAGCAGTGCCCAACATAGCAGCTTGCAAGTAACAAGCAGCAGTAGCCATGGCCATTAGGCGCCTCCCCACCATCGCCATTAGCTCTCAGAACACCTTAAATAAACATAAAATCCAAGTTAAACAACAGCGTGTTTTCTCTGCAAACTCGGCTTCAAGACAAGCACCCCATTCTCCCTCCCAGTTGGTTTCTATTCTTAAGCCCCTACAATGTTGAGATTGTAAAACTACAACTAAAATGTTTAGAAAGTATATGTTGAATTGAAACAAAACTGTTTTTTCCCACTTGATGTCTTAATAAATGAATTAAATCAACCAAAAGAAAAAATTAGTTAATTAAATTAAATGATTACTAATGTACAGACATCTTTTTTGAGAGAACTATCACCAAAATTTGTCATCCAATAAATGAGAATGATAGATTGTTGGTATTTTCTTTTTTATTGTTGCTGCTTCTGATTATTTCTTAGAATTATGTTTATTAAAATAATTGATGCTTGAGATTTTTTTGGACTCAATTTTCAGAAAGCAACTGAGACAGAATAAGGGATGGTAGGTAAGGAATGCAGAATAAAAGTATTAGTCCTTGTAGTTTTCAAAAATATTCTGCAAATAGGCCAGGCGTGGTGGCTCACGCCTGCAATCCTAGCATTCTGGGAGGCCGAGGTGGGCGGATTGCTCAAGGTCAGGAGTTTGAAACTAGCCTGAGCAACAGTGAGACCCTGTCTCTACTATAAATAGAAAGAAATTAATTGACCAACTAATATATGTACAAAAAATTAGCCGGGCATGGTGGCGCATGCCTGTAGTCCCAGCTACTTGGAAGGCTGAGGCAGAAGGATTGCTTGAGCCTAGGAGTTTGAGGTTGCTGTGAGCTAGGCTGACGCCACGGCACTCACTCTAGCCTGGGCAACAAAGTGAGACTCTGTTTCAAAAAAAGAAAAAATCATTCTGCAAATAATATACCAATTAATGCAATCAATGTTTTGTTTTATAACAGTTTGGATTGCAAAAGAGCTTTATCCTCAAACTTTAAGTGGCAGATATATGCAATGTTCTGGGGTATAATATTTTTTTACTTTTGTTCAATAAAAGGGAAAAATATTATTCAAGCCCCTGTTGAATTTCTTTCCATTAAATCATTTTTCTGCCCTACTAAACATTGTATAGTGAAAATGCTTTAATTTATTTTTTAAGCTTAAGAACATTTAAGTGGCTCAGAATGAGCTTTCTGAAGATTGAGTTCTTGCTGCACTGTCTTGTAAAATTCATAAGAGACTAGAATGAGTATCTAATGACTCTGAGACTTAACTGGAATTGAAGTTAATTTTTCTAACTAAACTGCTAATTTTCTTGCTTTTGTCGATTAAAGGTCATCTGTTGAGATCCATACACTCTCTGGCTCATTTGTTTAATGAACAGAGAAACTGAATAGCATGATATTTCTACATGGAGATGCTGGACCAAGCATTCTTCATGTAAGATTGATTCAGCTAAATAACTTGTTCAAATTATTTTTAAACTAGAGTATAACCTTGCTAGGCTACAACAGTTGCCTATGTCAGGGGCTATGTGGGTAAAAAGAGGCAATAAGACTGGTTTATTGGTGGACACTGTGTTTTGTCCAACAGAGTCCCTTCAATGAAGAATTCGTTGCCCAGCAGCAAGGAATATTGCCACAAAACAGTCTTCAGCTGTCAATGCCTTTCACTGATTGCCTCAGTTGGAGTGAGCTGCCTCATGGAAGGTCATGGCCCTTCCAAGGGAAGACCATATTCAATAATTAATTGATGTGATAATATAAAGTCCTGTCCATCTTGACTCAAAGGGGGACAAGTCTGAAGGACCATTCTAGCTCCAGAGTTCCAAATGGGGTCAGCTGAGGCTGTCTCATTGGGTTCATATCACAGCTCAACTTCTGCCCACTCCTGCTTGAGTCTCCCTTCTTCCATAGGTGTTGAGCATTCCAAGGACCCTCCTTAAACTAGCACGGTGGCTCACACCTGTAATCCTAGCACACTGGGAGGCCAAGGCTGGAGGATCGCTTGAGGTCAGGAGTTCAAGACCAGCCTGAGCAAGAGCAAGACCCTGTCTCTACAAAAAATAAAAAAATTAGCTGGGCATTGTGGCACAGGCCTATAGGACCACCTACTCGGGAGGCTGAGGCAGGAGGATTGTTCTAGCTCAGGAGTTTGAGGTTGCAGTGAGCTATGATGACATCACTGTGCTTTAGCCGGGGCAACAGAGTGAGATTGTCTCAAAAAGTAAAATAAACAAACAAATAAATAAATAAGCATCTAGCAAACTAAACTCTGTCTCAAAAGTCTGGTGCTTGGGTACTCAACTTTCAACAATTGGCATCACAAAAGTTAAAATACCTGGGCAGTTTTAAGGATTTATTCATTTTTCAGCTAGTTCATTTTGTTATCATGTAAAAATAGCCTAAAATCATTATAGTTAAGATGTTAGCTAAATTTATTTAGGTGTTTTTAAAAATTATAATGTAGACAGACACAACATCATTGCTGATCACTCAAGGAGTTAGGTCTGTTCGCCGGTGATTAATCCACTAGAGTCTGTTATTTTTCTTAAAACCTACTAACAAACCAAACAAATAAATAAAAGACGCATTTTGTTGAGGTAGCAATAAAATACACTTCTCATTTGCTACTATTAAATTAAAACAAGATATTTTCCTAGTTAGGCATATAAAATCCCTTATATTTTATATTATAATTTGTTTAACCTATAACAGATGTTTTGTTCTTAGAGTTTTAGAAAATATGTGGGTTAGTGAGTTATTTATTAGGTTTAATGGAAAAATAATTACTTCTCAAAGAGTGACTATAGTTCTTGGCATACTATAGGTATTTAATAAGCATTTGAAGTGAGTTAAATTAAATATGTTGAAGAATGTAATTTCTGTTGAATAAAGTTATTATTTTAAAAAATCTAATTTTTAAATATTCAGAAAACATGACATTTATTCAATTAAAAATGAAAAAGAAAATTTTTATTGGATTTCAAAAATTGGCCTTGAAAATAAATATCAAAATTTGGTAGCTCTTTCAGAGTTCGGTGTTTCTGTTCTTTCCTATCAAATTTATTTAGTATCCTCAGAAAGACTCACATGATTTTTAGTATTCAAAGTAGTGAAAATGAATCTTTCCTTCTGCTTTCTAAGGAAAGGTATGTAGTCGTCATATTACTTTGGCATCAATCTGTATCTGAAAGTACAGAGTTAAATTTTGTATTCAATTCTGGTGACTTTAAGATTTCTAGTATAATTATCCCTTCTTCCTTTGACCCTGCTCTCTACATACTTGGGTGTTATTCTTAGCTAAGAAAATGTTTTAAGATATTTCAAAAGCTTTTGGAATCAGGTAGGGCTCTAAACAATAAATACAGAGTCACTGTTAATAAATAAAGTCACTATTTTTACACTGCCTTGGAGGAATAGAAAAAATGGCTATTTCGTGGCTTTAAACATAATTTATAAGCACTTTTTGTTCTTCTATTATTGGTAAAAATATAGAAGAAATGCAGTGTAACTAGGAAAAATGCTAAGAAGTGACCCAAAACTTTTAAGGATGCTGTCAGGAAGTTTAAAAAGCTGTAGGGAACATATAATAATATTTTAATTTATTCAATGAACAAATATATATTGAGTATCTGTTATATGCCAGTACTGTTCTTGGTACTAGAGTACAGTGGCAAAGTAGATAAGAATGTGTACCTGCCATACTGAGCATTACATCCCAGTGGAGAAAATAGATATGATTATTTTAAAATGCCTATCTCTCTATATGTATATCTATATGATAAAGCAGGAAGTTATAGTCATAAATGCTAAGAAAGAAGGCAAAGCAAGTTTAGAGAAAAGAAAATGATGGTGGATGAGGGGCACTCCTTTAGTTAAAGAGATCAGCAAAGGCCTCTCTAGGGGGCTAACACTTGACCCAAGCCTGAATGATGTCTTGGAGAGGGCCATGAAAATACCTGAAGCAATAGCATTAAAGTTTGAGGAAATGGCCATTGCAAAGTCTTCAAGGTGGGACAGTTTCATATGTGATATGTTCAGATCAAGAAATTGACCAATAAGAGAGTAAACCCCTTACTTGGGCAAGGTGGTTAATGCTATCAAATGACAAAGGAAAGGCAAAATTACTTAATCTACTTTTGCCTTTTTAACCAATGTAGAATGGTCTTTAGAAATGAAAAAAACAAAACGAAACACCAAACGGTATAAGTGGACAAGGATGTAGTAGAATAATTATCACAAAGATGTAGTGGAATAATGTTTAACCACATTAAATGAGTTAAAACTCCCAAGATCAGATGATTTATAACTTGCAGATGTACTTTCAAGACCTTTGAGAAATTACTAACCATGGGAAAGCTGCCAGAAGTAAGGACATGGACAAATGTCTCAATTTTCAAAAGGACTAAGGGGGAATTGTGAAAGTTATATATCAGTATAATCTTTGTTGCAAATCCATAATTAATTATTTAACAGGTAATTTGTTAACATTTAAGAAGTCACTAAAAGTTAACATCAGTTTAATAAGTAGTGCCAAATTCACTTCCTTTTTGAAAGTTTGCTACTAACATGGCGAATCAGAAAAATAGTATGGACATGGTTTAGTGATTTTGGCAATGCATTTAATAGTCTCCCATGATATCTTTGTGGGGAAAGACATGAGCTATATCTGGATAATAGTATTTTAATGCAGATTCCTAGTTGACTGAACTACCCTAATAAATATTGGGGTCTGCAATCATGGAGATGGGTCTCCAACATAGTATCACAAAGATCTAACTTCATCTATATCCCCTTTAGTGTTTTTGAACAGTGACTAGGTTGAAGACATTGAAGTAATGATTATTAAATTTGATGGAAAGCTTGGCTGAAACTATATGGTAACATGCAGAATCAAGATTCAAAATAATTCTGATGATCAAAATTCTGGGTTAAAACCAGAGCATAACATTTAATAGAAATACTTCTAAATCCCTGTGTTTAAGTGAAAGGGAGGGAGATGCACCAACTCCAAATAGAGGAGACATGACTTGGCAGTTCATGTAAAATAAGTCTGTAAACTGCAATTAATCAAAAGTTAGTAGGAGTCAAAGATGTGAGGTGGTTGCCTGAAAAGGTCAATGTTGTCTTACATTGAATGTGGTGCAAATGATAGAAAGTAATAATACTATTATTAGGTATGTCAAGTCATATGTAAAGTAATACTCTATATATTCACTATACTTTCATCCAAACATATTTATTCAGTTGTTACTATATTTTAGTATATTTCTCTATTCAAAGAGATTCCAACTAGTAAGGAAGAGGAGCCACATATAAACAAGAATAAAACAATGTATATAAAAGCAATAAAAAAGGGAGGTAGAAACAAACTTGTATTTAAAAATCTACTATGTATCAAATACTACTTTACATATATGATTTTATTTAATCCTGATAACAGCCATATGGTTATGATATTATTATTTTCAACATGCTGAAAAAAGGGAGATTCAAAGAGGATAAACAAATACGGAAGGAATAGAGATTTCACCCCTTTGGGAATCAGGAAAATTTTTCTTGTAAGAGATCGTATTTGAACTGAGTCTTGAAAGATAGAAAAATTTATGTATGTGAAGAAGAAAAGAGCATGGCATCAAATATGAAGGCAGAATAGTGCTGGGTTTGTACAGAGGACAGTGAGCAATTTGGTTCATGCAAAGGGGAGTATGGAAAACAAAATGTTGAAAAGGGAGATTGGAGCCCAATTTTGAAGAATTTTGATGGCTGGGGTAAAAGTTTGAAATTTATTTGCATAAAGGTTGAATGGCTAGATGATGAGATTGAAGTAGACATAAGTTTGAGGGAGAGAGCATCATCAAAAAGAAATAGTTCAGGTGGGAAGCAATGAGGGTCTACACTAGGCAGTAGATGTATAGGAGAAGAGGGTATGGGTTTGGAAGATATTTAGAAAAATAGGAGGGATAGGATTTGGCAACTGATGGAATACAGGTAGGACATGGAGAGACAGAGACATCAAAGATGACACCACTCTATTAAGCCTGGACAAGTGTAAAGAGAGTGTTTTCATTAACCAAAGTAAGGAAAATAAGAGCAAAGTATAGATTTAGTAAGTAAATGAGGAATTTTATTCTGGACTTGGTGAATTTATGGTACTCATGCATGGCACACAGTAGAAAATCAATAGACAGTTTTAAATAAATGAATCCAGATCATTTTGTTCAGCATAAAACTTTTGATGGGGAGAATATCTTAAGAGTGTTGTCATCAAAGTTTGCGTAGAAGAATTTGTCCAAGATAGAGATATCTCAGTACATAAAAGTATTTGCAGATCAAAACTTAAGAGAAGGAAAATATTGTTGAGTTTTGCCTAGTAAAGGTAAGACCTAGGAAGATAATAGGTGAATTCAATGATTTAAAGCATTATCTTGTAGAAAGCCAGATAGACTTGTCCTAGATTGATCCAGAGGACTATTTTGTTGTAATTCGATTAAGCTCTATTTGCTCTTACCAGAAAGGACTGAAGATGGAAGAAACATAGCAATGAATTTCAAGGAATGCCTCTCCTAAAAAGAAAAAACAAGATCTCCTGGTGGAGTTATATAAGAAGTGCTCAGGATCATGAGTAAGTCTGTAGTAAGAAGTTCTCCTGTAAGAAACGAGGCTAGGGTTTCTATTAATAGAAGGAGATGCTGGTAAACAAGGTCAAATTCTGCAGTGGCAATAGAATCTAAGCACTGAAAACCAGGGCCTTGGGTTTGGCATTCAGAACTGTATCATTACAAAAATTTAGTTGAATGTCCAGGAGGGACAATAAATTGAAGGGGATTTAGGAGTGATGGGTAATGAGAAAATGGAGTCAGCTGGTAAAGAAACTTCCGAAAACAATTTTACTTGCACAAAAGTTAAAGGTGCAGAAGCTTAAGTGATTAGACTAATCATTTTCAATAGTAAGTACATGACTGAATATTCAGTTTTTAAAAGAATAGCCAAATAAATTCATCTGGGATCCAACGAACTATGAATTTCCATTTTTAACAAAAAAAAATTGGGCTGAGAAGGAACAGATGTATTATTAATATTTTAAAAGGAAAAATTTCGACTTCTATACTCATCTTAAATTTCTGCTTTATACCAAATATAAAAACAAAATACAGGTGAAGGAGAACAACTGAAAGTATAATAAAAAGTTGAAAAGAAGTCTGGCCATTACTGCAGACTATATCTAAATAAGCAAATAAAAGTAAAAATTTAGCAATTGCCTAACAATATGTTCAGCAAATAGATGGTCTAGCTAATTTATACCATATATGTAGCAGTTGGAATATCTGTATTTCAGGCCTAAATTTTTCAAATAATTGCCCCAAATTTCTATTTTACTTGCTCTCTGAAATGAATTTGTCTCATTTCAATACTAAGTCTAAAGTTTTTGAGGATATACTGCTAAGTGCTGACTTTTGTGACTTTCTATTGATGCAGAGCATAATATGATATAAAAATATTGTTAATAACAAAATATTATTAAAAACAAAAGTCTTCAGTTACAACACTGACTTTTTCATAATTAATAAGGCATCCAAAATATTTGACAATTATAGATAAAAGATGCATTTTCACTTTAATCACTGGCAGAGATTGGAAAGTAAAAAATCATTAGGTTCTATAAAACATTGTAATGCCTACCTCAGGAGGAAAACATCATCTTAATATCTTGTGTACTGGGAAATAGAAAATGAAAGAAATATGAGAAAATTTATATTAAGGAGTTACAAAACTGTAAATTTTAAAAAAATAGGAGGAAAAAATAGTTAAGAAAAAAAATGAATTTTCAAAACAAAAGTAGAATGTAAAATCGGGTAGTGGTAAAATTATTTTAAATATGCTACACTACAAAAAAGGGAAAAATCAACATTGCATAATTTAAATATCAGGATCAATATGTATTGTGATTAAAATACTTAAGTATATTTTTTATCATACTACTGCAAATGATAAAAGACTGCTTTGAGCCATATTTACTGATATAAATGTTTAGATACTTTAGAAATGAGCCACTCAGTTGAAAGTACATCATTTATTTTATGGCAATTGTCAGGCACTGAGATATCTAAGTCCCGATGAGTCATAAGATTGGACTAAGGGTCTACCTGTAGATATTAAAAGGCCCAAATCTCATGAAGTTGGCTCCTAGTTAGCAATCAATAAATAAAAAGCCATCTTTTTGTGATCAATTATTACAAATTATACCACTGTAAGTACTCAAGAAAAGATAACAGTATTTTTATACCTGATATATAGCCTGTTATATTCATAAATGTTGTATGTGATGTTTATTTCTTCTGTGAAATAAGTAAAATAAGTTTACTGGTTAGAAGATATAAAAATTTACTTTTCAGATAAAGTTGTCTAATTTGTATGCAAGAATGCATAATTGCAGAAGCCAATGCTAAAACGTATGTACCAATTAAAGAAACTCCTGGTTTTTTTTAATCAACAGGTTTTTTTCCCCCTTGTTTATTTATCTAGTAATGACATTCCAGACAATAAATCTGAAATAGTAACTATTAGAGTGGAATATAATGTTCTGGGTAAAAAGTACTTTAGTATTGGTCATTAGATATAATAATCTCTAATGATAATGATATGACAGTCATAATTTCATGAAATGAGATGTATAAGAAAACTCAAGCTTAAAAAATAATGAACCCTCCCATACATACACCATATACATACACATCCCACATAAAATATACAAGATCATTAAATCTTATTAAAAGTAAAGAGAAAAATTGAGCATTTTTGAATCCACATCTGCAGAGTTAGTTAATCATAAGGAATGGAAAGTGTCGAAATCAAATTAAATTAAATTACAAACCCAGATGTCTTCATCATAGTGAAGTGCATACATTTCAGGGTTTTCCAGAGATCCAAAACCTGGGGATCTGCCAGAATCCACCCCAAAACCATCAGATTTCAACCTTAAGAGAATTTATCTCTTAAGAGAATCTCTGGAGGGCTCTTCAAGGACTCTGATACTCATTCCTTCCAAAGCACTGGGAAACCTGGTCTGAAAATTCTCAAAATGTCTCACTAGAGCAACCTAGGCCATCATTATCATGCTGCGTTGTTTGCCTCCAGTTCTCTTTCTACATATGAAACCGAGGAAGCATGGAAAGTTCCTACAAAACATTATGGGAGAAGCATCAGCAATCTGCACACACGCAACACATCCTTTGATTTTTTTTTTTTTTTTTTTTTTTGGCAGCAGCATCAGCAGCGGCGGAAGCATTAGGGCCGCTCTCTCCCCTTCAGAATCTGAACTCATCTGACTTGCAGGCTCCCCCAAACCCCCAACCCCACCTCTGGTTCCCTGGCTTCACAAATGCAAGAGAATGAGGACGTACTTCCCATCTGGACCTGCATTTGGAACCCTGTCAGTCAATGCGGAGGGAACGGGGGAGAAAGTTACTTCGCAGGCAGCGACGTCTCACCTTCCATGCTTGTTGCCATGGAGACGAAATCCAGCGAGTGGACTTAAGTGCCGGCAGGTTTGTCTGCGTTGGCTGACCGGTTCCAGGCACAACGTGAGAGGCGCGTTCTGGGCACCTGCGTGGAGTCTCGGGACGGCGGTTAGCGCTCCCCTGGCCTACGCGTGTCAATGTCTGTGCCTGGTCGGTGAGGGACAGAGGACGTGGGCGCCCGCCCGAAGTACGTGTGCGCGCGCGCGTGTGTTTGCAGGAAAATGTGCCTGGGTTTCCTCGGCGTGGCGGTGCAAAACATTTATGCGCGCTCGAGTTGTGCATGTGAGGGAGCGTTTGCCCGCGTCTATACGTGACACCCAAAGGCGGTGGGAAATGAGAGGGGCAAAGGAATCCGCTGCAGCAGCAACAGGCTCTATTTTTCCAATCTGCTAAAACAAAGAAAGGAAAAAAGAAAGAAAAAGATAAGCTCTCCTTTTCGCTTAGATCACACCCCTGCAGGTGAGCAATCAGGGTCCATCACAATCTTTACTTCCCAAAGCACTGGGGCTTTGATTCATTTGTTGCTGAAATCCTTGTTTTCCTCTCCTTGCTGCATTCCTGGCTGTGCCGCGGGCATTTTACTGTGCTCCGTGGCAGCGGTCACAGTCGAACAGGAGGTGCTAAATTCTTCCATGTTTCTTCTCATCCGGTCGGGGAAAAGATGGGAGTGAAAGGTGTGTTGGTTTAACTGAAGACTGACTGCGTCATTTGGAGTTCTTTCGCCCCCGGCTCTTTCCTTTTCCTCTTCCACACAAATAACTGAATTCCTCACGGTTTCTAGGGCTAGGCTCCTGAGCGCTGTCCTTAGTGCTGAAATGTTGAGCGGCGAGACCTCTCTCCCAAAATAGTGTCGAGGAATGCTCTGATAATGCCCTAGATTGCTGCCAGACACGTTTTCTACACAGTGTTGAATATGTAGATTCCAAACATAAACCACGATGAAAGCAAAGCAAAGCAAAGCAGGGCAAGCAAGGCAAAGCAAAGCAAGGCAAAGCAGAGCAAAACAAAACAACAGAAACCTCCCTTCTCATCCCTATTTTAGGGGTCTGGTGGTTACTCCGAACTCAGTTATAAGGTTCCCAATTCTATTTATGTTTTGATACGGTATCCAGAACCTACGAGTTGCAAGTACCTGTAGATTGCCTATAAACTTAATTATTCACCTTATGGACTATTGTATTGTCATGTGGTTGGGTAAAATGTAGGTACTGACTTGGGACATCGTTCATGTAAAAAGAAAAAAAGACTGAAAATACATAGTGTAAGTGTAATCAGGTTCAATAATGAAGTGAAGACAAACTTTATGGTTATTTAGGGTACTTATTAATTTAGGAACTTGATGGTCTTACGAAAACATGGGCAAGGTATAACTGTAAGTTCATATAAGACCACACTAAAAAAAGTTATAGTTTTTCATTTAAAATGATTAAAATGTCCTAAAATATAGGTGAAATAATCCTCTACTATGGAAGAGAATGGAAAACATATCTTCTTTTAATGACATTTTCATAGCAAATGGTTTTACTGACTCTTTTTAAACTTGCTAAAGGCCACATCCTTTATTAGTATTCTGCGCTGCAACAGTGATTCTTGAAATTTAGTGTGTAATGAATACCCTAATGGTCTTGCTAAAATGCTGATTCTGATTCAGTAGATGTGAGGTTGGGTCTCAGATTCTGCCTTCTTAACAATATCCCAGGTGATGCCAGAGTTTGCTAGTCTTGGGACCATTTCAAGTAGCAAGGTACTGCAGATCCTGTAGTCTGGCAATGCAGTCACGCACAGTGTGGGTAAGGAGGTAATTTTCTTCCATCTATTATTCTATGTATGTTTCTAGTCTATCACAAAAATAATTTATTAAAATCAGCTCAGAAGTTAATCATGTAAACATCTTGTTTGCACAAGATTAACAAACTGTTTATGAATTTGTTTCATCTAATTTTGATTTTGATACTGTCTGGTCCCATGGTACAGTTGACCCCACTCTATATTTCCATGCTGTGATCTGCAATCATTCATTCTCTTTGAAAACCCAGCTCAAGGGAACAGAGAACTAAGTTATATGATTCCGCTACTGACGTATGGACCTCCAAGAATTTATTATTGTGGTTAGGGACTTTGACTTGTCATTTTATGACTTTAAATATGGCTCCATAGTAAATGCCCATGGAGCTGATTTTAAAAATCTGGACAATACATATTTAATTCTCACTTCATTTAGAAAGTGGGATAGGACTACTGTTTCACAGATCATTGGTGTGATTTTTGATTTGTCAGGTCATTGACATCATGCACACATGCTTATATTTTGAAGGTTGCTCTGGATGGTTTTCTGATGTTTTTTTAAAAAATCCATGCCTACATTATTTGATACAATGTTTCCAGTTAATGCTTTTGAATTGATGCCAAAGGAATGCTTTCACTATAAATTATATTCCTTGGTGTTAGTTGGTGCATGACCTTGACCCTTTTCAAACTATATGAAAGGTGGTGATGCTCTCAAAAGGCTGCAAAATGGCCCATTCAGGAAAGCATAATGGATTAAAATACTTTGTTAGATGCTGGGATACAAAAATAAATGAGATTTGGTCCCTGCCCTTGAGGAGAAACATTGCAAAACAACATGGCAAGTTCTACAAAGTTCTGTGGAAGCACGGAGATTAATATGCTATTGATATTTTATTCTCCACTGCCAAAGAAGTGGTGAAGAATCACAAAAAGGTAAAACACAGAGCACTTCAGGTCCTTGACAATATCTGCTGCCCAACTTTTATAAAAAATTGTTGAAAGAAATAAAATATATAAATACTTTTCTAAAGCACATATGGTTAACCTATACTTCTGGAAAGTGTATGGTTTATTTTAAAGACAATTCAAATTACTACAAAGGTAAAAATGTGAGTGGCATTGTTTAGACCTCCCTCAGACAGAATTGCTTTTACTATGCTTTGACATTGTGCTCTCAGCTTATATACAAATATTCTGTATGGAACAACTCCCAGCTTACATAGCCTGTTCTATGTCTGCTATGGGGCTGTTACTGAAGAATTGGTCAACAATCACTTACTATGTCTTATATAAAAATGCCTCAGTACTTTAGATCCCATAGACATTCCTGCCAAAATATTTCTTTCGATACCAATTTCATGAATTGAATGCTCGCTTAAACCAACCCAGGGTAAATGGTTTATTCTTCTCCTACTTAGAATGAAAATCATGTTACTGATCACATTTACCAATTCTTTTAGTTGCCAGGCATGCCAGAGTGAAATTAACACCAAAAGATTAATAACTACACAAGAGATTAAGGCTTTTATATCTGTGTTCTTTCTCTATCACCTTAACTACTAGAATTTTGTTTTCTTAGGTAATGATATATTATTTTCTTTGAATTCTCTATGTTAATGTATGACCTTATGTAAATGTCCTCATAAAATCAGTAGTGGAGTAAATAAATAAGTAAATTTCTCTACTTTTTAGCCAAAGTATGTTGACTATTGGGTGAGTTGTTTTATAAATTTATTTTAAGTAGGATACTAAAATATAGAAAAATATATCATCTAATTAGCTATAAAGGTAAAAATCTAAATTATAATGGCTAAATATTAAAAGGTTAAGGTGGCAGAAGAAATTTTCCATTTATATAATTACAGATCATCTTAACTTCAAATCACTTTGTTTTTGTTTCTCCTTCTACACAATAAATAATGTCTCTTCTATTACTAAGACTTTTTAATTATGTTAGAGGATGGGAAGTATTATCCACCTCGTTAGAGATCATGGTAACTATAGGAATTTAGACAGCATGACAGCCCCACTATAGTGAATACACTCTAGAATTGGGGTGTCACAAAGAAACTGAAAGCAAGAATTTTCTCTAACAAGGCAGCTCAGGATTCTTATCAGAGGAAAATTTTTCTTGTATGAATTCTTGCCACCCTGGCTCCAGTTGACTTCTTGTAAAGTGAGATCACTTCTTGAACCTATTAGGCCAAAAATTACCTTCAACTTTTCATGGAAATCTACATTGTTCTGGTAGAAGTTTGATTATTCTTCCTGAGCTAAAATATTTTAATGTAGTTGTGCCTTTTTATTAGAATATTGCTATAAAATCAAACATTGGATACCACATTTTTCAAACACAAAAAACAAAAAAATTTATAGCTTTTTGTTTTGTTTTGTTTTGTTTTGTTTGTTTTGAGACAGGGTCTCACTCTGTTGCCCAGGCTAGAGTCCAGTGCTGTCATCATAGCTTACCGTAACCTCAACTTCTGGCCTGAAGCAATCCTCCTGCCTCAGCCTCCGAAAGTACTAGGATTACAAGCCTGAGCCACCACATGCACTCTCGAATGCAAAAAAAGTTTTAAAAAGTATTAACAAAAAATACGTATTAGTGTTGATATAACTATTTTTAAAGATTAATATAATACTTATTTGGCTTTAGATGATATTAAATACTTAGCCATATTCAGAAGTCAATTGTTTGTTTTTTTTTAAAAAATGCATTCCTATCTATTTTGAGTGTCATTTTTATCTACCCATGATTTTTTTCTACATAAGTGGTTTTAATATTTATTTTTAGGGAAAGGAGTAAGAATGATTTTGAAATTTCACTAAGAAATATGCGCCATCTCTCTAAAAATACATACATGCAGGTATTCTGCTCACAGCTCAAGGACTTCTGGAAATTCATTTCTATAATCCCAAGTAATTCAAGGAACCTAATTAAAAATCTGCTATAAATAAATGGTTCATGATCTCATTCCCAGTTTTGCAATTAAGTACTGGATGGCTTAAAGTCCTATATATTTTGTCAACCACCCTATTAGTTTTCTATTTTTTTCCTTGGAGTTCTTCTTTAAGTCATTTTACCATCTGATATCTTGAGAGTAGTCAATGTTGAATGTGCTGAAATAAGATTAGAGAGTACAGTAATAGGATGATTAGATTTGATTAGAAAATGACTGAGTGGAATTTTGTCAACAGTAAAGAAATTATCTAAGTGTGTGGACTCATAAGTGAATTGAGCATGATGACTCTTCAGTGTAGTTAATGATCTATTGCTGGTCTATTTGATGAGTCCCATTGAAAATGAGATGTTATGTCTGCTGCTAAACTTTTCTGCAAAGAAAAATGCACTAAATGTTTCAGTTCAAAGTAATCCATTTAAATGAAGTTTCATTTAATTAATTGGTTTTAATTTTCCTGCCCATAGCCTTAAATTGTTTCATTTAAAATGTACTTCCAGCCCTCTACTATATTTACTATTGAATCTAATGAGTATGATAGGATACCCTGGGCACAATCTCCGTGAATGTGTGAGCCATAACTACAATATAATATATGATAATTAGCTTACGTTATTTTGCTTGGCTAAAGA